GGCGTAATGTAAGGTACGACAGGCGTAATGAAGGTACGAGGCGTAATGTAAGGTACGACAGGCGTAATGTAAGGTACGACAGCGTAATGTAAGGTACAGGCGTAATGTAAGGTACGACAGCTGTAATGACAGGCGTAATGTAAGGTACGACAGCTGTAATGACAGGCGTAATGTAAGGTACGACAGCTGTAATGACAGGCGTAATGTAAGGTACGACAGCTGTAATGTAATGTAAGGTACGACAGCTGTAATGACAGGCGTAATGACAGGCGTAATGTAAGGTACGACAGCTGTAATGACAGGCGTAATGTAAGGTACGACAGCTGTTATGACAGGCGTAATGTAAGGTACGACAGCTGTATGACAGGCGTAATGTAAGGTACGACAGCTGTAATGACAGGCGTAATGTAAGGTACGACAGCTGTAATGACAGGCGTAATGTAAGGTACGACAGCTGTAATGACAGGCGTAATGTAAGGTACGACAGCTGTAATGACAGGCGTAATGTAAGGTACGACAGCTGTAATGACGTAATGTAAGGTACGACAGCTGTAATGACAGGCGTAATGTAAGCTGTGACAGGCGTAATGTAAGGTACGACAGCTGTAATGACAGGCATAATGTAAGGTACGACAGCTGTAATGACAGGCGTAATGTAAGGTACGACAGCTGTAATGACAGGCGTAATGTAAGCTGTGACAGGCGTAATGTAAGGTACGACAGCTGTAATGACAGGCATAATGTAAGCTGTGACAGGCTGTAATGTACAGGCGTACGACAGCTGTAATGACAGGCATAATGTAAGGTACGACAGCTGTAATGACAGGCATAATGTAAGCTGTGACAGGCGTTAATGTAAGGTACGACAGCTGTAATGACAGGCATAATGTAAGCTGTGACAGGATTAATGTAAGGTACGACAGGCGTAATGTAAGATGTGACCAACGTAATTTAAGGTACGACAGGTATGATGTAAGCTGTAGAAACAACAGAAAAAAAGGGGGCGCACCAACCTTGTGCATTACTTATGGTGATAGCTTTATTCATCCAAAGCAAAATATACTCACAAACATTGTAGAAACAAAAGTATGTCAGATAAAAAGCGACCAGTACACCGGATCAGCTCCCAAACTTGTGAGGACCCTCTTAGGCTGTCGTGTTTCAAAGAACAGTCTCCTCTTCCTCAGCTCCTCAAAATGCGTCAGCCTAATAGGGTCCTCATGATTTTGCTGATCCTGTGTACTGGTCGCTTTTGTTTCTACAATGTTTGAGTATATTTTGCTTTTGGATTAATCAAGCTATCACTCTAGGTAATGCAGAAGGCTGGCACACCCTCTTTATTTCCCTTTGTTTCTACAGTTGGTTCCTGCGGGTTGTCCCGCAACCCCTAGAGGGTAGCAAGGCTAGTGCTGGTATTTGATGCATGAAGGATGTGTCACAGTTCCATCTTTGTACACCATTCTTGAGCGCAGGGGACTGATATATTTCTGTATCAGAAATCATGTAATGTAAGGTACGACAGGCAGAATGTAATGTAAGCTATGACAGGCGTACTGTAAGGTACAACGGGCATAAAGCAGGACATGAAGGGGCAAAGGGGTATGGCAGGTGTAGCAAGCAAATATTACGCAGACCAATTGTATAAGGGGTGCTTTGGGTGTGTGAAGAAATGTTAGAGGATATTCTCTCCTTCATTATCCTCATCCTGCATTAACGTGGTTGCAAAGGCAGAAGGTTTTTTTTTACCTGATTGCATTCTATGCAGTAAGGTAAGGAAAAAAAAACCTGTATGCACCCCCACAGCCCCAACATGCCCCCCCCAATACATACTTGAGGCAGTGGCGGGGGGGTTAGGAACGAGCCCAGTTATGTATGTCCTATAGACACACAGAGTGGGGTTTGGGAATGAGCATGCACAACTGCCCCCAGAGCAGGCGGCTTGCTATGGGGGAAGTTGGCAGGGGGGTGGTGCCTAGAATTCTGCTGAGGGATCCCAGAAGAGGAGGATTGGGGCTGCTCTGCGCAAAACCATTGCACAGAGCAGGTAAGTATAGCATGTTTGAAAATCTTTTTTTTTTTTAATTAACACAATTGGTTTAATCCCTTGACGCCGACGTCACACAAATATGCGGCCTCACCAAAGTGGGTTTTTTTCCGTGGAGCCGCATATCTGCGCACCTTTCTTTGTGCTGGGAGCACGCCGCACAGTGCGCTCCCACCACAAAATCCAGATTGTCACTGAGAGCCCCGGGTCCCGTTCTAACGATCGGGACCCGGAACTCCCGATTCCGGGTCACATGATCGCTGTGATAGCCTCTGATTGGCTATCACAGTGATCAGTCACTGTACAGCCCGGCCCCCTTGTTTTTCTTCTCTCTATGAATGGAGGAGAGATACATTGTATCTAACTACTGGCATAGAGGGGAAAAAATGTTTGTTTAAAAAAAAAAAGGTAAATATATTTTAAAAAAAGAAATACCTAGATCAAGGTTTGATCTAGTTCAGTGCCAGGGTAAGTGTTTGGGTCAGGGTCAAAGGTCAGGATTTAAAAAAAAATTGGTGTCAGTGTGTTTTAGGTAAACAAAAAACAAAATGTGCACTTCTGTGCTGTACAAACAACAAATAACATACACATATATGGTATCACTGCGATTGTCAAGAGCTGGAAAATTTATTTTGGGTTGTTCTTTGGTGGTAGGTTATGGTAGTAACAAGAAACACACAGCTAAATTTAAAATAATGATTTTTTTTTTTTTTTTACTATTTTGGGCCAGTTTTCCTTTGATAATAAAAAAAAAAAAAATCAGGATTTATCCATTACATATACCACCAAATGAAAGCCCAATTTGTCCTGAAAAAAACCGCGGTATAATTCACCTGGATGTACAAACTAGTTATGATATGTACGGTTTTACTAACACATGACAACGTTGCAAAGTTGTGCTTCGGCGGTAAGATTTGTTTTACCCTTAGGATGAAGGGGTTAAGGTTGCCTAGGGGAAGAATAAGGGACTTAGTCATTTTTATTTTGGCTAAGTATTATTCTGAACAATCTGGTTTTTTGCTTGGAATTCCCTGTGTACAATAGTGTTTTTGCTGGTATGTGAGGATGCCTACAGAGCTTCCTTGTTTTACATTTGCTGCATTAGAGGCCATGCTGCCTGTGTCGGGTTTCTTGTACTGGTGGCTGCACAGAGCTTACAAAATCCCTGTCCAAGAAGAAACCACATCTGCCTTCTACAGCCACCCACCCATTGGGATGAATTAGAAGGTTCAGTTATGTGCCAGGGTTGCTTGTGTACAGACATATGCTTCGAGCATAGTATGAGTTTTGGTGGTGTAACTACTCATCCATTCTGTGGATATTCCTGCAACTATTTTGTTGTTTCATGAGTTTTCCTCTACCAGTCATTAGGGGGGAAGCTCTAAATGGAGGAAGCAAAGCTCTACCTCTACTGAGACAGCCGCTCTCACATAGAGAAACAATGCAATACAAGGCTTAGTAAGTCAGTAATCGGGAAATCAGCTGCAGAGAGACCACAGACAGTACTGGTGACTTCGTCCTCTACTTCCCTTTCTTGGGCACAGCTTCCAGAGTTCAGGTTCTGTTTAAATGGGCTCTTAATATACCACAATACACTTATTCTAATTTGTCCACCATGGCCTGGTCTAGCTTGGCTGCATTTTTGCTACATATCTGCATTGCTGTGCCATTCAGAATGAATGACAATGTGTACATTGTGTGTATTATTGCAACACAAAGGTGTGAAGGAATGTTGTCAAGGTGAAATACTAAAGAAGGACAGGCGAATATATTTATGTTCATATATACTGAATGTGTCCTATGAAGGTGTACATTTATCCAGGTCACAGGTATATAGTGGTTAGTCACATTCATTTGGACTTTTTGTGAAATGTTGATGTTTTGTTTAACCACTTGCCCCCCCTCCCCCTCCAGTCCAGGCCATTTTTTCTGCAATACGGCGCTGTACATAAATGAAATTTAGGTCATTTGTTTCCCACAAATAGAACTTTGTTTTGGTGGTATTTGATCACCTCTGCGGTTGTTATTTTTTGCGCTATAAACAAAGACTGACAATTTTGAAAACAAAAACAAAAACAATATTTTTTACTTTTTGCTAAGAAAAAAAATCCAATTAAAAAAAATGAAAAAAAATGAATTTTGGCAAATTCAGTCCAAAATGTATTCTGCTACTTGTCTTTGCTAAAAAAAAATAAATCCCAATAATTGTATATTAATTGGTTTATGTGAAAGTTATAACGTCTACAAGTGGCGGTATATATATTGGAATTTTATTTATTTATTTTTTTGTATACTAGTAATGGCAGCGATCAGCGGGACTGCGGCGGGCATTCTGACATTGGGGGGAACTGATTGTCACTGACATCTCCGGTGACACTAATACAGTGATCAGTTCTAATAAAAAGCACTGACACTGTACTAATGACACTGGGCAGGAAAGGGTTAATTTCCAAGGAAGCTATAAAGGCTGGGGGTATGTTCTGGTAGTTCGTAAAAGTGAAGACACTGCTTAGGCAGTGAAACATCTTAGGCATTACAGAACAAGTCAAGTTTGGTGTGGCTACTACTAGCTGATTATATTTCACAAATAATATTGCAGTGAGCAGTAAGTGTTTCTGGTAACATATGAGAAGGCAATGATGTGGGAGGTAAGTCTGTGACCGTCTTAAAGGTTTGAACCTCTTTACTCCCCTTTCTTCCTGACAGATGGATTGGTGACCCCTGGTTTCCCTAATGTTGACACTTCTCTCCACTTTCCAAGATGAGTAAACTACCAGGTGATTTTCAGTCTGACCTGGAACGAAGTCTTCCAGCTATTGCCTCCATCAATTCATCACTGAGCCAAAGCCTGTCTCCTCAGTTTTTTCTGCCTCCAAGACAGCGCAGGGCCATTTCTGATGTTCGTCGGACATTCTGCCTTTTTGTCACATTTGACCTTCTCTTCATCTCTCTTTTGTGGATTATTGAGCTCAATGTGAGTACCAAAAAAAATGTATCCGTTTATACAATACAATGCATGATTTACAGTATCTCACAGAAGTGAGTCCACCCCTCACATTTTTGTAAATATTTTACTATATCTTTTCATGTGGCAACAATGAAGAAATGACACTTTGATACAATGTGACGTAGTGAGTGTACAGCTTGTATAACAGGGTAAATTTGCTGTCCCCTCAAATTAACTCAACACACAGCCATTAATGTCTAAATCTCTGGCAACACAAGTGAATACACCCCTAAGTGAAAATGTCCAAATTGGGCCCAATTAGCCATTTTCCCTCCCCGGTGTCATGTGACTCAGTGTTACAAGGTCTCAGGTGTGAATGGGGAGCAGGTGTGTTAAATTTAGTGTTATCGCTCTCACTCTCTCATACTGGTCACTGGAAGTTCAACATGGCACCTCATGGCAAAGAACTCTCTGAGGATCTGAAAAAAATAATTGCTGCTCTACATAAAGATGACTTAGGTTATAAGAAGACTGTCAAGACCCTGAAACTGAGCTGCAGAACGGTGGCCAAGACCATACAACGGTTTAACAGGACAGGTTCCACTCAGAACAGGCCTCGCCATGGTTGAAGCAAAGAAATTGAGTGCACATGTTCAGCGTCATATCCAGAGGTTGTCGTTGGGAAATAGACATATGAGTGCTGCCAACATTGCTGCAGAGGTTGAAGGGATGGGGGTCAGCCTGTCAGTGCTCAGACCATACACCGCACACTGCATCAAATTGGTCTGCATGGCTGTTGGCCCAGAAGGAAGCCTCTTCTAAAGATGATGCACCAGAAAGCCCACAAACAGTTTGAAGACAAGCAGACTAAGGACATGGATTACTGGAACCATGTCCTGTGCTCTGATGAGACCAAGATAAACTTATTTGGTTCAGATGGTGACAAGCGTGTGTGGCGGCAACTAGATGAGGAGTACAAAGACAAGTGTGTCTTGCCTACAGTCAAGCATGGTGGTGGGAGTGTCATGGTCTGGGGCTGCATGAGTGCTGCCGGCACTGGGGAGCTACAGTTCAGTGAGGGAACCATGAATGCCAACATGTACTGTGACATACTGAAGCAGAGCATGATCCCCTCCCTTCGGAGACTGGGCCGCAGGGCAGTATTCCAACATAACCCCAAACACACCTCCAAGAGGATCACTGCCTTGCTAAAGAAGCTGAGGGTAAAGGTGATGGACTGGCCAAGCATGTCTCCAGACCTAAACCCTATTGAACATCTGTGGGGCATCCTCACATGGAAGGTGGAGGAGTGCAAGGTCTCTAACATCCACCAGCTCCAAGATGTCATCATGGAGGAGTGGAAGAGGACTCCAGGGGCAACCTGTGAATCCATGGTGAACTCCATGCCCAGGAGGGTTAAGGCAGTGCTGGAAAATAATGGTGGCCACACAAAATATTGACACTTTGGGCCCAATTAGGACATTTTCACTTAGGGGTGTATTCACTTTTGTTGCCAGCGGTTTAGACATTAATGGCGGTGTGTTGAGTTATTGTGAGGGGACAGCAAATTTACACTGTTATACAAGCTGTACACTCACTACTTTACATTGTAGCAAAGTGTCATTTCTTCAGTGTTGTCACATGAAAAGATAGAATAAAATATTTACAAAAATGTGAGGGGTGGACTCACTTCTATGAGATACTGTATATTACCTCCTGTTTGCAAGAATAAGCTTGTATTAACTATAAATTACAAGTCCTCTGCACCACTGAGGCTGGATGAGAATTCAGTAGTAACTTGTCTACCAAACAATAAAATTGATTTATAGTCTACATTTGACCATCAAACTCATAATTTTTTGGCATTCAAAAGTTCAAAATAACATTCTTTCTAGGGTCAGGAGCAGGAGGTGATAACTCATCTGTCACAAAAATAATAAACTAAATGGAACACTTAGATTACAAGCTGCCTTCTTACCGGTTTAGCAGTAGGACTAAGGCAGGCCATAGATGATGCAATTTTCTTTCTTGCAGCCATGGGTTGTAGGAAAGAAAATTGCTTGATTCTCCCATCAAAGCAGTCAGTATTGATGGGGGAATCCCTCCCGCGGAGATATTGTTTCCCCCAGTGGGAGTGCAGGAAGCCGTCCTTGCCAGGAGAACACATTGATTACTGCTAGCAGCTATAGCCGCTGGCAGTAATTGTAGGACAGAAAATCTGACATGCTGACTGTACCCAAGTTGATCGATGGATCGATTTTGGGTACAATCAACCTTCACATAGATGGTTCGAATGTCTGCCGGTTCCTGCTGAACCGACCGAGTTTCAAACCGTCTATGGCCGGCCTAAAGGATAAGTTCACCTTTTTATAGTAAAAAATAATAAATGCCCCTTTTTTTTTTGCAGGTAAAAAAATTTGCATTTTATGATTTTTGTCTGCAGGAGCTTTGTAAAGCATTACACCAGCGATCAGCAGATCTCTGGTGCCATGCAGGTCTCCTGCAGATCTGTCAATTATATCTTGCCCGTACAGGATAAAGAAGCAAGCAGATATACTGACAGAAAGAATTAATTAACTACCACGCTGCTCCACAACACTGTGGTAGTTCATTGAGGACTACAAGCCGACAGCCGCTAAGGTTGTCAGGACTTGTAGTCTCTAATTCATAGATGACTGTGAATGAGTGATGTGGGCAGAGCCCCTCACGGCTGTGTTTTTTTTTTTAAATTTGGCAGCTAGCGAGAGGGGAGAAGATCCCTCGCTAGCTGTCAAAGCAGGGAGCGGTCTGTAACATCCCTATCATGTTATATGTAGGGATGGACAGGTTATTGCTGTATACTGGAGCTGTTCAGTCTAGAAGTCAGGAGCATTTTTAAAGTAAACCAGCTATTAAAATTCACCACTCGTACAAATCAATGGGATGCATGTCCACATTACAAGATGTTTGTATTTTTTTTTAAATACATTTGTGCATTCTTGTTCTTTTATATACATAATGGTTCTGACCGTATTTCTAAAGCTTAGACAAAGATCTCTGGCTATCACAAACAGTAATGCAAAACAAAAATCTGATATGTTGCAGCTTTGATGCAATGACTGCAATAGTTTTCTTTTTTTGATGCTTTTTTTTCCTTTTGATCCAGTCAGTAACATACCTCCCTTTCTTAGGCCTCATTCACACGAGCATACCTATCTGTACAATGGTGCGAAGGTCTGTCTTTGCCAGTACGGAATGTATCGGTGTTCCATGCATTTGTGTGTAGGCAGCCCCATTTATGTCTATTACGATGCAACAGCTACATGGATACAGTCCCCGATAGCACACTGCGTTCTGGAAAACGCATCTGCTCGATTGTTAGATTGGGACTGGTGGGTGTGTTCATGCTGCCGCTGCATCCCAGTAGGCACTGTTATTACTGCCTGCACATGAATGAAGGGAATACCTGTGCATCCCGTGCGGGCAACAACAGCCTTTTACATAGATGTACATACATGGATGTTGAATTCCTATCGCCTGATGCTCTGGGTGCTGGGCAGGTAGTTTTTTGGGGGGTTTTTTTTTACCTTTTTGCCGTGCTGTGGGCAAGCAGCAGGGCTCACCTGTCAGATGGAAGCATTCGGGCGGCAGCGCTGCCGCCCAAATGCTTCCACACAGTGCCAGCCTCTCCCCCGCCCACTTTCTCCCGTGCTCTGCTTGCCTATCTGCGGGCCCGGGACTGGCTCACTACCATCAGCTAGAGGGGAGGGAGGAGAATGGACACGTCCTCTTCCTTCCCCTTTTTGTCCTGACATGGAAGTGACGTTATGATATCACTTCCGGGTCCCTGTTGAGAGATTCCTGGCCACAGAGGCCAGGAAAGAATGTAATGCAGTGTACTGCATTACATTCAGTGGAGCAGAGGGGAGACATCCAGGGTTTTTTAGACCTTGGATGTCTCAATAAAGAGAACCTGTCACCAAATATTATCACATAGAGAACTGTGATAATGTGATGGAAAAAAAAGTTGTTTTTTTTTTAATTGTACAAAATGAAAGTTACAGCCAAGCACATAACAACCCCACCCCTACATGTACGTACATAAAAATGTAAAAGCACACACTGGAGCGCCTACGGATGAAAACGTCAATTGCGATACACATGTCACATATCGCCGCACACGCCAGAAATGAGAGCAATAATTCTAGCACCAGACCTCCTCCATGACGCTAAACTGATGACCTATGAGGGGCTTTAAAAGTGTCACCTATAGAAAATATAGGGTACTGAAGTTTGTCGCCATTTCACGAGCGCACGCAGATTTTAAGGTTTGTCATGTTGGAAATCTATTTACTCGCTGCAACCTCATTTTCATATTTTACGGAAAAATAGGGTAATTTTTATTGTGTTTTTTGTTTTTGTTTTGTTTTGTTTTTTTTTTTACGGCCTAAAATTAACTTGTATTTTTTTACTGAAATTTTGCGGTAATATCATGCAACATAAAAAATTAGAACTACCACAATTTTATTCTCCTAGAGCAGGGGTAGGCAACCTGCGGCTCTCTAGCTGTTGTGGAACTACATTTCCCATGAGGCATTGCAACATTACAAAACTGACAGTTACAGCTATGACTTGCAGAGGCATGATGGAACTTGTAGTCCTGCAACAGCTGGAGAGCCGCAGGTTGCCTACCCCTGTCCTAGGGTGTCTGCTTTCAGAAAATATATAATGTTTGGGGGTTTTGCGCAATCTTCAGGCGTAAATTTTTTTTTTTTTTTTTTTTTTTTTTTTTTTTATGGCTCTGGCAGCGAAAAGGATAAGCCTGAAACACCCCTTTCCTGAGGAGTACCCAGTCGGTGCTCATTACACTGAAAGGTCTCTCTCCTCCCTGCCAGTCCCCAGGTGCAGTGCTGGAGACAGGGAGGAGAGGAGGAGATAAACAACACAATATTAAAATTATTACACGTTTAAGTCGCCGTAAAACCCCTTTTTGTTTTTAAAACATTCCTAAAATTACCTCTGATTTGAATACGGTTTTGGTTAAAAACATTTTTTTTTTTTTTTTTATCTGGACAAGTAGATTGTCATGAGGGACAAATAGATTGGGGCACTGATTTAGGCCCTGGACAAGTAGTTTTTTCAAAAATGTCCACACCCCTGTACATATAGGTATGCCTGTGTGAATGAGGCCTTAGGATGGTTATGCTTTGTTGTCCACTGTATTTTTGGAGAAGCCACCCTTAGGCAGCAGTATTGTTAACCAGGGGACAGGCCAGGATACAATTGTATGCACTAGCACAGTTAGATGGACTTGATTAACCCCTTGACTCCAACCGCACACAAATTAGCGGCCTCACAGAACTGGGCTTTTTTCCATGGGGCCGCTAATCTGCGTACCTGTCTTTCTGCTAGGAGCGTGTGCCCAGCACAATGACCAGGATGTCACTGAGAGCCCCCCGAGAACTCACGCTATCACAGTGATCAGTCACTGAAGCCCACCCCCCCTTGTTTTCTTTGAATGGTGGAGAGAGTTAAATTTTATCTCTCCTTTCAGAGAGAGAAAAAAAATAAGCAAAAATACCTAGATCAAGGTTTGATCTAGTTCTGTGCCAGGGTCAGTGTTTTTGTTTTTTGTTTTTTTTTTAATTTTAAATTAGTATCCGTGTCAGTTAGTGGCAGGATAGGATGTTTGTTTTGTTAAAAAAATAAATAAAAGTAAAAAAGCAAATTGCACACTATATTGTTTCTGGGCTGTACTACGGGTACAAACAACCAACATACACACGTGTTAGGGGGTCAATAACACAGGTCAATCAGAGCCGCCTTTTACATGTGACCAGCTGTGTCCAGTCACAGCTCATCACATCTAAACAGGAAATGCCTTTTTATTGGCATTCCTCTCCTCACGCTGACAGTGCGGGAGGAGAGGTGAACAGGTAAGCTGCATTTCTTCACTGGTCATCGGTGTAGCCCCATTGGTGTGACCAATAGTGCCCATCTGTGCAGGCTTTCTGTGCCTCCTCAGTGATGCCTATCAGTAAAGGAGAAAAATAACTTATTTACAAAACTGTTTTAACAGAAACTGAGAAACTTCGGTTTTATTTTTTTGTTTGTTTTTTTTTTTTTTCAATATTTTTTTTTTTTGTTTGTTTAGCAAAAAATAAAAACCCCAGTGGTGATTAAATACCACCAAAAGAAAGCTCTATTTGTCTCAAAAAAATGAGAAAAATTTAGTTTGGGTACAGTGTTGCACCGCACAATTGTCATTCAAAGTGTGACAGCGCTGAAAGCTGAAAATTGGCCTGGGCAGGAAGGAGGTAAAAGTGCCCAGCAGGCAAGTGGTTAAAATAATTATATCCATGAAAAACGTCTCGGGCTTTAGTAGTACTTTAATATTAAAGATTTATATTTCCCCTTCACCCTTCATGTCTGACTCCCAGTTAAAATACCCTGTACATCCTACTATAAATTAACTCCTCATAGTAGTGATTATCTGCTGATTTTGTATTATAAAGGGCTTAATTTTATTTTATTTTTTTTTTTAATCATCATGACTGCTGCTACTAAATGTCTTAGGGTTCATGTACACTGGCAGCTCCTAAACTTTTGGAATATTTTGCCAAAGCTCCTAAACTCAACTCCATAACAGCCTGTGTGTCCATGCACAGAGTTTTAGGAGCTGCCGCGTTTAGGTGAGGTTATACCTTCCTCTCCTGAACACAGAAGAATATCATTCTGGATGTTTTGCCCGCTGGCAGCAAGAAAATGCAAAATGCGACAAAAACACGGTTCCACGTTTACGCGCAGTTTTGTATTGATTTTTGGACGAGAATATTCGGAAAAAATTCTTTGTACATTCGATGAATAGATGAATGTTGTTCATAAATTCCACTTGATTTTAACATTCGTTTTTAAAATTAATGTAAATTCTGAACAAAAACACATGCACTGTCCAAAAATTGGTTTAATCGAGAAATTCTGCTCCTTCGAATTTCCCTTTCACTGTGGTACAAAACGAATGTCGATTTTAGAAAATTGAGTGTTCTTTAAAACTAAAATTTTCAAACAAAAAATTAATTTGTGTTATAAGTGACAGCAGGTGCAGGTAGCTTGTATCAACCTACCTGCCTATGACAAGGGAGTCAACATACTTTGTTACAGTCCTGTCAGAAAATATGCAAAACAGTGTTTTAGTTTTTCTTTTTTTTTTTTTTCCCTTTAAATAAAAACATTTTTGCCTCTGAATATATATATATATATATATATATATATATATATATATATATATATATATACATTTTTTGTTTTTTAAACTTTACAAATTAACTAAATTCTACATCAAAATTTTTGGGGGGGGATTTTTATCCCATTAATCAAAACGATAATCGGGCAACTAATCGGTTACGAAAATAATCATTAGTTGCAACCCTATTTAAATCACGGTTTCCATTTTAATTCCTGTGGCTAAAAATACAATTATTCTGTTAGCGTTATACTATTTTTGCATGTTTCAGTGATCAGTGTGTTGACAGAGATATTTGTTTTCCACAGACTAATAACGGGATTGAGAAGAACCTAGAAAATGAAATTATCTATTACAAATTCAGCACCTCATTCTTTGACATATTTGTAAGTTTTTCAGTCAGCAGCCAATATGTTCTAGAAAAATTTCTTTCTAAACCAATGTTCTAGGTCTTCTTGTCTGGGTATGGCATTGTTGCTGAAAGCAGATTTTTGGTACAGATGGTTTGGTATGGTTCTGCTGTGATATTACAGTGCTGGTAATCAGGGCTTAACAGCTTTTGTCCTAAATTCCAAAAGTAAGGGCACAAATCTCTCAATGCTGTTTGATAAAGCATGGCTGATTATAGTCTGAGGAAACCATGTTTTTCCAAATATAAAGGTTTAGGCATAGGACAGCAGGCAATATCCGATTAGGCAAAATCACATTCAGTTTTCTCTAAACATTTGCTCATTTCCATTTTCGGGGAAGATAGGAAGAGGGAGGCACACGCAGCGTTTATCTGAGAGGGAACATAAGTGATAGCATTTATAAACCTATATGAGTGTATCCCATGCAGGTTTGATAGCTCGGGCAATCTTCAATAAAATAGTAATGTTGACACCAGTGATTCTTGTAGTAGCTGCCCACTGGCTGTAGCAGTGCTAATATGGTGGACACTTCTTGGCTGTAGCGCAGGTGGGGTCACCCAGACCGTTTTGTATACAGCCCCTGGCTTTGGTCATAGATCAGTGGTCTCCAAACTGCGGCCCGTGGGCCAGATGTGGTCCTTTGCCTACTTTTATCTGGCTCTTGGGGCACTTTTTTTCCACTGATACCAACAATGGGGCATAATTCCCCCCCCCACTGACACCATTAAAGGGGCAGAATAACTCCCAATGATGGGGCACAATGACCGTAACGATGGGGCACTATTCCTCCCAGAGATACCAAAGATGTGGCATTGTTTGTTCCGTGGAAGTCAGGACCGTTTCATCTCCCAACAGTCCGGCCCACCTTAGGTCTGAAGGACCGTAAACTGACCCTTTGTTTATAAAGTTTGGAGACCCCGTCATAGAACACTGGCTCCAGCAGGTATTGCACTCTGTGCCTTGTTGAAAACCATGTCATGTCAGTGGTCATTTACTTTGCTTTTAGTAGTTTCCTCCTCCCTCCATGCTCTCTTGCACAACACAGTAAGTTGCATGTTTCCAGCCTGCCACAATGCAGGCAGGAGGTTTGTCACCTTCTTATGAATGTCTGAAGCTTTGTGGGAAGAAGATGAGGAACTGTTAGACACTAGTGTGGGACTGTTAGACACTGGGGAGTGATTCAATGTAGGGTGGTGAGAGCTAGATTGGATTTTATACTCACTAAATCGAACTGGCACTGGTTGTAAGTTCTGTCTGTTCCTTTTTTTCATGGCCTATTTAGAGAGATAAGTCTCGAAAAACCGTGCTGGTTTCTCTGACTTCCAGGTAGAAGTGGTATTATTAGTAACGGCCTAAAATAAGCTCATCTATAGGTTCACTGGTAATTTTGTGGAGAGTCTGGAAAATATTCACTGTTGGCAGTTACCAACCAAAGCTCTGATTTGAATCACATTGAAATGTTGTGGAGGACTCGACACGAGCATTTCATGCAATGAAACCCTAAAACCCCTTTCAACTGATGGAATGTTACGTAGAGGAGTGGGTAAACATTTCAGAGACTGGTGGGCAGTTATGCAAAAAGTAGTTTCTGCTAAAGGAGCAATGCCAACTTCTGATGCAAAGGGTGTACTTGCTTTTTCACAGTTCACCATGACATACATGGATATATATTTTTGTAGAGTATATAACTGAAAAGGTAAAACTTTCTTTGTAATTTTCTTTATGTAGTATCACCCTATCTGTAGGCACTGTTCAAAGGAAGGTTAATGTTGGAAAAAGTCATCCATGTCCATTGAGTGCACATTTATACATGTATATGATCACAATTTAATATTCTCTTCAGGATAATCCTGTGATTTGTCTGTTATTGATGTAATGTAGACGGGAATAGTTGCTTAAATGTTTTGTGCTCTTTCTCCAGATTCTTGCAGTGTTTCGGTTTTCTGTCCTTCTCATTGGTTACGCTGTGTTTCGTCTACGCCATTGGTGGGCCATTGCTGTAAGTGTTCAATCTTTCTAATGTAATTAGTATCTACTTGTAAAAATCAAATTCAGAGAAATATTGTGTAAATATTAAAAGAGAAACCTGGTAACCCTTCCTCTTTTCCATCTGTATATATTAATTCTTCTGCCAAACACAGAGAAGAGAACATTTATAAATGTTTAATGTGTGCAGCTGCATCTCCATCTTTAGTGATCGCTCCATTTTCCCTAGAGGAGCTAAAGACTGCAGTGTGGAGTCCCGTATACCTGTCTGGTAACCACTTTGTGGTGTTACCGATCTAATCGTGGGTATGACTAACTCTGGCACTGCCACCACCATAGCTGTGGTCGGGCAGGAAAGTGAGGGGATGTAAAAAAGTCACAGCCACAGGTTTACTTTTTTTATTTCTATGCATGTGCATTCAGGTGTGTGTCCTTCCCCTCTCGGTCCTGATCCTAGGACCATTGTAGACGGGAATGTTCAGGTTGACCGAGGGCCAAGGAGATCTGGAATTTCGGTTCCCAGCCTCCTCGTGCTAAGCACTTCCGGTTTCAGAACTTGCAGTCCCAGCATAGATGTTGGGTAAACAAGTAGATGCAGGCTATCTGTCCTTGATCTACTTGTACTGATGGCAGGGTTAATACCACGAGTCTAAACAACCCCTGAAGTCTCCATAAAGAGTACCTGTCACTACTATAGAGGGCTTATCAACCCCCTTCTGATAGTAGCAAATAGAAAAGAAATTGTAAAAAATAAAATCTAAAGACATTTTCGTCATTATGCCAACCGCATGTAATTTTTAGCCTAGATTTTATTTTTTTTTTTTTTTACACTAGACACCATTCAACAGAGGAGTATGGTGTTTGTTTTTTTGTTTTTCTCCAAATTATACTTACCTAGGTGGATGCCAACTTTAACGTCAGGAGCTTTCCCCAACCGGGATCGGCTGAGTGACATCAGCTGACAGCGAGATCCAGCCCACTGCGAGCTTCAGCCCACTGTCCGCTGAAAATGAGTCACAGGAGTACTGAACGAACTACACTCTTGTGATACACAGAAGAATTACAGCCAAAAGAGCTTTAGCTGTACTTCTCCTTTTTTAATTTTTATTATTGCCTGTACAGTGCTGACATAAGTACCAAAACACTAATTTGGGGTTCTTAGGATAAAAAGAAGAAAATAATTTATTGAAAAATTTGGAAGATTTTGAATTATAGAAAATATGATGCCCCATTAAAGAAACTAAAACATTTTGTTCATTTTTCTGCCTATAATAAAAGAAAATATAAGTTGGGTATTTATTAAAAACTGTGCCAATTAAAATCTTTATGTCCCTAAAAATGTTAGTAGGCAAAGTAGTTCTGAAGTTATTGTGAGGTTAACTGTTGCAAACTGAATTGGCTACATTGATTTCGTTAAGACTAATTGGCTACTCACTTTGGAAGGGAAGTTGCATTTTGCAAGGCTATGTGATCCAGAGTTTAGTGAATAAGGTGAGGTTCTGCTGACTTTCATTCCATTTATGTGCAAGGAAAATGCTGTGTTAGTTTTATTTTCCATGCTCTAACTGGGTATTCTTTGCAAAGTGAAACTTCACCACATTCACTAAGCTACAGGGGAATTTTTCCTTGCAAACTAAATATCCTATTTGTCTTCAGTAAATCAACCCCAGTGGTTCAAGGTGAAATTTACAAACACCTGACTTCCCCCCCCCTTCCCTCTGTGTTTCAGTGCCAAATAGATCTATTTCAGGTCTCCCTATGCGACCCATGCCAGTTTTTATTTGGCAGGTTTTTTTTTTGGGGGGGGGGGATTCCAGAGCATGCGGTTCCAGCTGAACTATCACAGACATAGCATAGAACACTGTTCAGAGTGCTCCAAATTATTAAAAGGGGCTTGCACCCCTCTTTTTAAATATGAGCTCCATTTTCTCAACTTAGAGTGGTGAAGGTATTGACACATTGAAGCTCAACATACAGATATACCCAGGCAGTGACAGCCAGTGATAGTGATAGCCAGGCCGGCCAAACAGTCATAGTGGGGAAGCAGTCAGACAGCAATACAGATCAAGACAGGCATACAAAGTCAAGAGAAAGCATGGGGCTGGCAAATTTAAAAGGTTGATAGCAGAAGGCAGTCTGAAACACAGAATAGACAACAAACACCTTTTGATCAAGCACAGTCTGAGTGCGCTCAGACCTCACTTTTATGGCATATTGATTGGGATCCGGTTTGTAGCCATGCTGTAGTGCATAGGAATGTCCAGAACATGGCACAAATGAGCATGTAGCGCCAGCAAGCATCGGCTTACCAAACACTGCAGGAATAGGAAGCCAGCTAGCTGTCTGCAACCAATGTTCGGCCATGAGAGGATCAAGGATCCTTGCACTTTGGGCTCATTCACACATTCAGCCAGGGGTAGTAGGAATAGGTAGTTAGGTTTTGGTTTTAACACTGTACTGCAAACTACAATCCAGTTATAAAATAACATTGATGTCTTTCAGATTACAACCCTGGTGACCAGTGCATTTCTTATTGCTAAAGTCATAATGTCACAGGTGAGTATACAGTGAAAAAATGCAATATGTGTATATTTTCCCAAGATTTATGCTGCTAAAGGCCCTGCAAGTACAGAAAAATACCTCTTGATCTGCCAGAAATGCACCTAGTTTTGAAGTCCTTTTCTGGGCTGACAACACACAACTTTGTTGTGGACTACTGTAAGTAGTATCAGCCCTCTCAGGTCTCTTTCTAAACTACTAAACCACAGGTATTCTTAGATTTGTACTTAATAAAATCTAATCGTCTAACAGTCCCAAGGGTAGAAACAGCACTCTGAGGAAAATGCCCAGATGCTCTCCCACAAGGAAATCCATACAAATCCAAAACTAGTATAGAGTATAGTACTCATGGTTCTTGTAGAGAAGGTAGATCAAAACAGCAGTGTTTTTTATTGTCCACAAAATTCATTTATAGAAAAACTAGCATTTGTGCAGGTCTATATCACCACTAAAACAGGCTGGTGAAAGTCACTCATAAAGTTAAACGTAGGTAATATAAACGGTACTGCAGCTCTCTAATGGATCCACTGGTTAATGGGAAGATATATGGAACAACAATGAGAGAGAGAGGGTGCACAACCACCCTACCGCAATAGAGTTTTATTAAGAACAACAGTAATAAAGCCTTCACCCAATACACTCACATTCCGCTGGAGTAAGGATGAGCATGTCAAAAATGTGTAGAAACTCTCCTGGATGACCGCTGTAAGATCCACAGAAGACACCATGATGCTTGCTGTCAGCCTGAGATGACAGGAACCACCTTAATCAGACACTAGCATACCCGTGCTACTGGTCACACTCCCGGTCCAGCCAGCCCACGCTCTCTTAGAGGGGACCTGCAACACAGAGGAGAGCAAGGAGACGTAGACACACGTCAAGGTTGCTATGACACATTTCGGAAGCCTGACCAATCACGGCCACTCCTCCTGTCGTGTGTTAAATAGAAAACGCAAGGCACCTCCCCTGAATCCAATCTTAAAAGGACCATACCAGGAGAGGCTAACTAATACAAAATGTAGATAGTGGGACAACAGCAACCGTGTGTGTGTATTATATATAATGACACCGCTGTTTACATTATAATGTATTGCGTAGCGTATGGTCAGTGATTTAGGCTGATAGATCATACCATACTGATTGAAATACAGTTGGCAATGTTACTAAATAATTATATATATTATAAATAATTAGACCCTTGAAAAAGAAGGGAAATATGCTATTTATTTATTACAGATGCTTATATAGTGCCGTCAATTTATGCAGTTCTTTACATATATATATTGTACATTCACATCAGTCCCTAACCCTCAAGGAGCCTACAATCTAAGGTCCCTAACTCACATTCATACATACACATAGTAGGACCAATTTAGACAAAAGCCAATTAACCTACCAGCATGTCTTTGGAGTGTGGGAGGAAACCAGAGTACTTAGAGAAAACCCACGCAGCAACAGGAAAAACATGCAAGGTCCAGGCAGCTGGTGCCATAGTACTGCCAGGCGGAAGTACTAATCCTATATCCACAAGTGTGTGGAAATTAAAAAAAAAAAAAAAAAAACTTGTCCAGGGACTAAATCAGGGCCCCAATCTACTTGTCCCTCATCACAATCCTACTTGTCTTGATAAAAAAATGAGCCAAAACCGTATTTAAATCTGCTTTAAGCAATGTCTGGGGCTTTTAAAAACAAAATAACAAAATGGGCTTTATGGCGACCTAAACATTTAATATTTTTAACATTGCACTGTTTATCGCCTCCTCCCCTCCCTGCCTGTCTCCAGCACCGCACCCGGGGACTAGCAGGGAGGGGAGAGACCTTGCAGTGTACTGAGCACCGATTGGGTGCTTGTCAGGAAAGGGGAGTGTCGGGCTTATCCTTTTTTATCCCTTTTGCTGCCAGAACTGTTTTTGCATTTTTTGCACAAGTTTAAAAAATGTAATGCCTGAAGATTACACAACTCCAAAACAGTATATATTTTCTTGAAGCAGAGAGCCTAGAGAATAAAATAGCAGTAGTTCCAATTTTTTACGTCACACAATATTATCACAAAGGTCTAGGAAATGCAACATTTCAGTAAAAAGTACACTTAAGTTAATTTTAGGGCACAAAAAGCAATAAATCATCCAATTTTTTGGGTAAAATATAAAAGATGAGGTTGCATCAAATAGGCAACATGTCAAATCTTTTTGTGTGCGTTCACAAAATAGCAACAAACTCTAGTACTCTATATTTTCTATAGGTGACACATTTAAAGCTCCTTATAGGTCATCAGTTTAGCATTATGGAGGTGGTCTGGTGCTAGAATTATTGCTCTCATTCTGTCATGTTTGGCGATATGTAATGTGTACCGTAATTGTCGTTTTCATGTGTAGGCACCCCAGCACATGCTTTTACGTTTGTACATGCGCACATATGTGGGGGCAGGTGTCTTGAAACATTTTGGAGGGGGGGTTATATGCTGGGGTGTAACTTTAATTTACTATGTTGCCAGGAGGCTGGCAACATAGTAGGCTGTGTGGAAGCAATCGGGCGGCTTCGCTGCTGCCGTAATGTTTCCACCTGACCTATGAGCCCTACTGCTTTCCCGCAGCAAGGCTAAAGGTAAAAAAAAAAAACTTCCAGCCCGGCACCCGGAACTACATGTCCTGGGAATCGAGTGATATGAATTGAACATCCCTGTATCCACTTAAAGTACTAATTTCTAATTGCTCGTTTTACCCCATCAGGGGCCATAGTATTCAGAGTAAAAATCCAGAATCTCTCCTGTGCAGATAATCTGGAAAACCTCTCCCTTTGTGGAATAGACATTGGTATAGTTTTGATACCAAAAAACTCTAAGCCCTTCATGCTACCACCATGTACCTGAGAAAAATGTCTGTGTTCTATAAACCGCCGTTGCTTCACAAATCTGTGCAAACCTTCCATCCCACATAATACATTCCACAGGGGCATCTCAAACTGTAAACCATGAACTGGTCCCGCAGTGTATAAACTGTTTTATTTGGAATAGCCTTCCATCTCTACTTCTACATGTCTTTTTACCATGGGACATCAATTGACAGGCCTTCCATTTGCTTAACTTGCATTGAAAGGACCCTGTCATATTTATGTGTGGGAATATCTTTAACTTTACATTGTACATCTCTAATCCGACTAGGAGAAACAATACTTTTGACATTACTGGCCTGCCGAAACACAACTTTAGGCATATCCAGGGAGGGCCCTGCAAAGGGTGGAGCTTGCTTTAGGAGAGGTCAGTGTTTCTGAATAGGCCTTTTTTTTATAGCCCAATGCAGGTCATTAAATCTAGTAATGAAAAGTACGTTGAATAATCCTGTTCATTGGTACCCAGTCCGATTTTATAGCAGTTCACCTCCTTTTGAATATGATCTCTTCTGTAGCCTTTTTCTAGGAACATTCCAGTTAACTCCTCAGCTTGTGATGTATAGTCAGCGGTGTTTGAGCAATTCCTATAAAGCCCCAAAAATTGGCTGTACGGGATATTTTCTTTCCACCTAGGATGGTGGCAACTGTTTTTATGTAAGTAGGAATTGTACATCGTTTCCTTGAAATGGGTCTTTGAGATTATCCTACCCTCCAGATCCCAAGTAAACCAGAGAATTGACATCCACCATGCACTCATTTTTTCCCATAAGTTTTGGAATTACAGTAAGAGACAAAGCTGGAAAGCATCTCAAGTGGGCTGTCCCAGATGAGTACCTAGATTATTGGCCATACACTATGCGATGCACTACACAGTACATCATAATGTAAAACAAAGCGTGTGTGTTTTGGTGGGGGTTTTTTTAATTGAAGAGCTTGGCTCTCTCCATTTTGATTTTGGATTTAATTTTAACTCTGTTTAATATTGTTTTTGTCTTTTTTTTTTTTTTTTTTTTTTTTTTATGCAGTGGAAACAGAGGGTGTAAAATCGGCTATAATTATTTGAATGAAATTCTTAATGGTATACTGTTATGAGAACTGTAACGTTGCTGTTGTCCCACTACCTCCATTTTATAATAGTTGGCCTCTGCTGGGATGGACCCTTTAAGATCTGCTTTAGGGGAGGTGCCTTGTGTTTTCTATTTAACAAACAATACATAAGTGAGCATGTCTTGAAAAAGGAGGCCACGCCTCCCAAATGCATCGTCATAGCAACCTTGACTTGTGTCTACATCTCCTTGCTTTCCTCCATGTTTGTGTACGCCCTCCAACGGAGTGTGGCGCTGGCTGGTCCGAGCGCATGCGCAGTAGCACTGGTACGCTGGTGTCTGATTGCGGCAGTTCCTGTCATCTCAGGCTGACAGCTAGAGGAGGTGTTTTTCTATGGATCTTACAGGTGGCATCCAGGAGAGTTTCTACAGATTGTTGACATGCTCATCCTTACTCTTGAGAAAGATGGATGGACTGGGTTTCATCAAAATGAAGTCTAATCATCCTGTAGTCCATTATGAGGACTGCGAGGACTCTAATAAATTGTGCACAGTACAGCTGTAAAGTGTGTGTTTGATATGTGCAAAAAAAGAAACAAATATAGCAAAACACTTCCAGCGGTATATTGAACAGACCAGAAGGGAGCAAACAAGAAATATTCCTTGTTAGGATTTACATACACTTTAATCGGTTTGGAATTCAATTTACAGAATACATTGGGGAGTGTCACATTTGTATCATTGTAAAGTAACGGCTACATAATTGTGTTAATGTCATTGGTAGAGCTTCTATTTTGGTAAGTGACAGTTTCCCTTTAAGCGAGGCAATGTGGAGCAACAGTAGAATTGTGGTTTGTGGTTTACCACTTGTTTTCAAGTATAACTGCAAGGCTAATAACTAAGCTTTACAAGTCATCTGGGCCTCCTCCAGACATGAAAGAAAAAAATGTATGCAAACAAAATCTGCTACTGAGGAAGTTTGGAGGCTGCCCTTCTGAAAGTACTAGTTCCTTGAATGTCATGCTGATTCAGTGGTTTGTTTTAGAGCAAGTAAGCAGTTTA